ATCCGCTCCAATAGGTTTTAGGCCTGTAATGGATGCGACGTCTAACAAAGTTGGGGTAACCATTCCACAAGGGAGTTGGAAATTATTGTGGGTGTTGTTCCAAAAATAGAGGGAAGCAATAAGCATAGATGTACAGTAACCTGACCCCACCTTCGACAGTTGAATTAGGTTGAAGATGCCCATGTTTTTCCAAACTTGGGATTTCACCTTTTATATTTTCTCTAGCCAAGCTAAGTAATCAGAAGGGTCTTTGGATAAAGGACATGACCTGAAAATCCTAAAACTAATGTTCATAAACTCTAAATTGATTGGGTCCCTAGAAGCTATGGTCGAAGGAGAACCTTGGCCATCTACCTTTGTTTTCTCATCAATTTTAATCTCTTTATCATTCATACGTTTTAAACCATTGGCTATGGGTTTGTAACGATGGTAAGCGGGAAAAAATTCTCTAACCTTAGTAGGGTCAGCAGTGAGATTGGGTAGAGGACCTAACGTAGCATGGGTCTTACTAGTGATAAGAAAGGGAATTAATACTTGTGATTGATAAACCTTGCGTTTCTCTTCTTCATTTAGAGGTTCAGGGATGTAATGTTGATTTCCAACCATGTTTGGACTCAACATTCTGTGAACTGAAGCGAGGTCTTTGGATTTTTTGGAGTCTTTGGCATTCTTGCTTATTTCCTTGGAGATTTTTGAAGTGGAAGCCATTGTTGTAGTAAGTTTGCTGAGAAAAAGATTTGAAAGAGATGAAGTTTGAAGAAATATGCTTGAGAGCTCAGAGAGTGAAAAGAGAAAAAATGATGATTTTCACTATTTTATAGATAGATGAAATGGAACGGTTACTGTACATGATTACCGTGCAACATTAATGGTGATAAAAATCATGGAACGTGTGTCATGTGAGAGTCATGTGATGAGACGGTAGTAGTTTAAAAGCTGACCCATGATCTCCTAGATGATAGACGTGTGACGATTGAAAAGATTCACGCATGGGTTTAAGGAGACGTTTTGGGGAAGTTGTCATGATGACAATGACGTCATATCCTTCCAAAGGTTTCTGCGTCGAATATGAAAAACTTCAAAAAAAATGGCCTTTTCTCCATATAGTCCAAAATGACTTTTTTGGGGGGAAATTTGTTGGCTGGGAATTTCGATGTCATGTTCCCATTTAAAAAACTAAGTGAAAATTAAATTTTACTAAATATGTTTGACTTCGACAGAGGTTAATGTGAAGTTCTTTCGAAGTTGTTCTCATAAGGAGACGTGTTTGGACCAAAACTTAGAAATATTTTCTAAGTGTAGAAGGTCACTTTTTTCCTTATTCGTTTCTCAGGAGATACACGTAGAGAACTATGGCGAAACGAAGGCATGCAGGGCAAAACATGTTAACTTTTAGAGAAATGCTAGTTGGAGATAGTTATTTCGACGTATTATAAATAGGAGTATTAGAATTAGGATTTATGTGTGTTCAATTGTTGTACTATACTCAAAATTTACTCAAAGCATCCAAGTTAAAGCGAGAAAAGAGTTACTATTGAGAAATGTATGTTGAAACGCCATATTTTATTCAATAAAAGTTTACTTTCATTTTACCAATGGTTCTTTCCTGTATTTTTTACTTTGAAGTTCTTTTCTTCATTGTATTTCCTTTATAAAATTTTACAAAGTTTAAACTTTTCAATAACAACCAAAATAACCTTTTTACACTAATAAATTTTGTCGAAGTGTTGATCAATTTTCCAAAAATACATTTATATAATAGCTATTTCCTCAGGATTCACTGGTTGATCCTGCAAGTAAACCAAATTTTTAGAAGACCAACGCTTGTTTACTAATTTTCACGGTAAACAATCTATTATAGTTAGTTTTGTTTTAGAAAATACTAATTATATATATGCTCGGTTTTATCAATGATCATTGGAAATTGATCATCATATCACTTAGGACCAATACAGTAACGACATTGTGTTCATTAAATCAACCACTCGAGCTTAAAATGAAACATATTATTAATAGGTAAATTTATGTTTATATGAAAAAATTTAGTAATATTTTATTTGACTTTGTAATTGGTTTAACGTGTAATATGTTTATATCATTTTCAGAGTATAGTGTTGTACAGCGACACAATATCTTGCACAATAATAGAAAAAAACCCAAATTTTGCTCGCCTAATGTAAGTGGCCAGATTACTTGTGATATTAATTTATATATATTGTTACATGCATGCGTGGTTATAACATTCATGAAATTAATATTCAAATATGTAGACGAGGAGACAACCAAAGAGATACGAGTGTGAGTATTATGTAATGAAACAAATGTTAAACATTGTCGTTGTCGGTATTGTTGATTCATGGGATCAGGTATATAGTATACATGTAGTGAATTGTTTACAATAACGTATTATTATTTTAGTTGTCTATGATTATCATATACGTGTGATATTCACATTTTTTCACTTTTTTTATGTAGACGTTTAACGACGTTACACCATTCCCCTACGAAGACTGTGTAGACATTTGTAAACGTTAGGTGTATATCTTCAATGTGCTTAAGGGTCCTCAAACATGAGTTTAATTTGTATATATGTTTGATATACATTTGAGTTTGATGATGTAAATAATATTTTTTTAATTTGATGAAGTAAATATTTTTTTTTGGCTTTAGATCTATTTACCTTTTTAATATATGTACAAAATCAGGTTTAGAATATAAGTACATAAATATAATGGGCTGGTAATGCAATAATATAAAAAAAATTAAAAAAACTAATAAATATTTCACAACGGTTTATACAAAGGACTGTGGTGATAGACATCGTCTAATATAATTTTTCACGCCGCTGATGAGATTCAAACCCATGACCTCGACACTATGTAACAACAGTTGATACCAATAACCCTTGTTATAAGTAGAGTGCTACCTAGTATATCACAACGGTCATGCATCCGTATTTCTATATAGGGAACTTACAACCACACACTACTTTACAACAGTGGATCACGCATGATTGTATCCCTTTTCTAATAGTTGTTGTATCTGTTTTCTGTAATAGTGCAATATCAGCTTCTATCTAAAAATGAAATCTTACCTTAAATGAACTTGTTGATTTACTCTTACAATGCATCTTTCTTGCATTGTATAATGGTGTTGAGAACATCCATTGTCTTCGATTGGTGTTTGTGTGTAGTGAAGTGGGATCTAAACGCGTCATTAATGTTTCCAAAAATTGATAGAGTTTTCTTCAAGTGGTTGAACCAAGTCATGGTTGCTTCCTTCTGAGTGAGAAAAAAGTCATTTGCTTCATTGCTCCTCTAGCTTGGTGGTAATATAGAATGGTTTCGCGTACTCAACGTGTTCGACAATAATCTCTGGTTATACCCTAACTTTCTAGCTTTGGGAGAATCTATGAAGAATTAGAAATTTGGCATTCACTAACTCATTTTGTGAATGGGTTCCATCGGTGAAGGGAAACACATTGTTTAGTGGAGTTGTGTTCGGGGGACGATGAAAGCAATGAAGCCTTCTTGGACAATTGTGTTCAAGTGGTGTGAAACTTGTATCTTCGCTACCACAATAATGTTTAAGGTGAATTATTGTCACGCTGAGGAGGGTGATGCCTCCTTATAAAATCTTGAGATTTTGATGGTTGTGAACAAGCACATACAAGAGCACCTATCAATATAGCCCCAGAGTTATTGCATTGCAAAACATGTAATTGTGTTACAAACTCAATTGGAATATTCTCTTGATTTTCTTTGACCTGGATAAGCCTCATGTTTTGTTGTTGCATCAGATTGAAAATGTTCAATAGAAGTTTGTTCACATTTGGTGTACCAAACAAGACTCGAAGTTGTTGAAGATGATGCAATGGTGGTGGAACATAAACATTAGGATGGAGAAGGTTGTTTTGTGGTGAAGAAAGTTGATTTTGTGATGGAGGAAGTGGAGTATGAAACAGAAAAATTGTATGAGTTATTAGAATCGACAGTAGAAGAATCATCATTGAAGATTGAGAATCTAGAACAAGAGACGTTCTTTGCCGAAGAGAGAAAGAATGGACGAATCATTGTCTAAAGGATGTGAATATCATATTGGAGATCGTTGGTGATGTTTCAAGTACAATGTGCATTTGAAATGACCATTGAAGAAGTAAGAGAAAATTGTTACGACGGTGGATACTCAGAGTAGTAATAGAAAACACTTTCCATAGCGCAATTGAGGACATTTGAGAGAATCAAAAGACAATTTTCTCAAACGACGCCTCTATTGCATTCTAGATCAGAGAATCAATATAAAGTCATATATCACCACCGTAAAGAAGCTTGCAGTGCGGTGGTGAATGTTTTTAGTAATCAGATAAGAAATTTGCAAAAAAAAAAAAGTTAACATTTTAACGCTTAAATTAATATGAGATTAATGTAAAACTTTAATTTTGATTAATTATAGTTTGATGAATTTATATTTTACAATTATATTAGTAATACACTAAGAAAAGTTTCAACGCCAGCCACCGTATATTTTATGGTACTATAAGTAAACAAAATTACAATAAAAGTGATCTGCGTAGACTATATGAAACTATCTTACATATTCCTCAATATACAATACATAAATCGACAAAATCAGGCGTCATGTGGACCACATGATGGTGACAAAAATTGGATTTATTGACCAAGTTCATTGTTTTTAATGGATGAGAAATACCCCGAATGTCCTAGCACACATGACTAGACCATTATAAAAAAATCTAGCCCCCAAAATATACTAAACAAAATATATAAAAGAAAATGTCAAAGATTCTTGATTAGTAGTATCTCTAGAAACAAAATAATTGTCAACAATCTCAGTATATGTAGAAAACTATTTTATTTTGCCACCAAATTTGACTCTATTTTGTTCACCCTTTAAAACTACTCCATAAGTCCACATTCAAACACATCACTAGTAACTAACTTGAGTTACTTGACACACAAACCAAACCATTCTTTGCAGACATGTCTTCTGCAGCAATTCTTGTTTTCCTTTTCTTCACTTTCACTTTCACATACCTTTTATTCAAGCTTTTCTTGCAACCAAAACCAAAAATCAAGAGGCCACCAGGTCCATCACCGCTACCGATAATCGGTAACCTCCACCACATACTATGCGCACTTCCACATCGAAAGCTTCATACACTTTCCCAAAAATATGGTCCAATCATGTGCTTACAGCTTGGTCAAGTCCCAACTGTTATCATTGCATCTTCAAAAGCTGCAGAATCATTCCTCAAAACACATGACTTGGTTTTCGCGAGTAGGCCGAAGATTCAAGCGTCTGAGATCTTCTCGTACGGTTCTAGAGGGTTGGCTTTTTCGGCTTATGGTCCTTATTGGCGTAGTGTGAGGAAACTTTGCACTTTGAAGCTTCTTAGTGCTTCTAAAGTTGAGATGTTTGCTCCTGTTAGGAAAGAGGAGTTGGGTGTTTTGGTTGAATCATTGAAGAAAGATGCTTTGGTGGGAAAGGTTGTGAATGTTAGTGAGATTTTGGAGAATCTTGTAGAGAATATTGTGTATAAGATGGTGTTGGGTAGGTGTCACTATGAGCAATTTGATGTGAAGGAGTTGATTCAACAAGGAATGGCTTTGCTTGGAGCTTTTAATTTGGCTGATTTTGTTCCTTGGTTGGGCGTATTCGATCTTCAGGTATGAAATGTTTAACTGAATCACTCGTTTTAGAATAAAGGAGAATAATATTTATCAATTTTAACTTCGATTTCATTGAGTTTAGTAAAAATATTTATATAGAACTTTGATATTAATAGTTTCACTTTTTGTTAGGGATTAACACGAAAATGCAAGAAAATCAGTAAAGCAATGGATGAGGTACTTGAGATGATAATAACCGAGCACGAACAAAATCCTATTGTAGACCAAAATACAAATGAAGACTTTGTTGATATCCTTCTTTCGACTATCCATGAAGACATTGATCACGAGGCTGAAGAAAATCGTGTGAGCGATAGAACTTACATCAAGGCTATTTTACTCGACATGATAGTGGCAGCATCTGATACATCTGCTACATCGTCTCAATGGGCTATGTCCGAACTATTAAGGCATCCAAGAGTGATGAAAAAACTTCAAAATCAGATACAAAATGAAGTAGGAAATGATAGAATGGTTGAAGAGAAGGATGTGAAGAAGTTTACTTACTTAGATATGGTGATTGATGAAATGTTAAGAGTTCATCCAGTTGCGCCCTTATTAGTCCCCCGTGAATCTAGAGAGAGCATCACAATTGATGGTTACTTCATAGAGAAAAAAACACGAGTTATGGTAAATGCATGGTCAATATCGAGAGATCCTACTAATTGGTCAAATCCTGAAGAATTTTATCCCGAGAGATTTGTTGACAAAAAATTGAACTATCAGGGACAAGAGTTCGAGTCTATACCATTTGGTTCTGGTCGTAGGGGTTGCGCTGGGATGAACATGGGTTTAACTACTGTTAAGTTAATTATATCTCAATTAGTACATTGTTTTGATTGGGAACTTCCAAAGAATGTTACCCCTTCCAATTTGAACATGGAAGAGAAATTTGGACTCACAGTAACAAGAGCTCAACCTCTGCGCGCAATACCACGCTATCGTTTAGGTGACGCCAAACATGAACAAGCCTAAGAATAATACTGTGTTTGTGTCCAACAAGTTTATTACTAATAAATATGCTAAGTGTAGAATCTCTATTAATGCTGTTTGTTTAAAATAAGTTAATGTATAATGCGAGATCTTTATATTTATGTCGATTAATGGACAACATTTGAGTCTATTTGGGGTAAACAATTTATCTATTAATATCTTGTTATTCAGTACTAGTTTATCATATAACTTTTTGTACAAGTTATTCTAATAGTTAAAGAGATTATGTGATGAAGTCATGCTCATATTGGAGTAACTTGCAATGGAAAGTTTTGGTTGCAATACATAAGGATAAGAAAAACAATGTTCTTGGCAAATGAATTGTAAGGTATATTTTCTATTGACTGAATCGAATGACATGAGCACCATATATATAAGCAAGTAGAAGGCCACTATGTCTAACTAACCGCAAAGGAAACTAGCTGTTATTAGTTGATTTGTGTTAGAAGTCGTTAACTTGCAATATCAACTAGTAATCTCTTTAATGTCACCTGCTTGAGACAATCAAATCTTACTTTTTTTCAATGATTTGGTGAAAATGTTAACAAGTTGTAATTTAATTTTGCAAGTATTCAACCTCTAACTTGTTCTTATTCACATGGTTTCTCAAGAAGTGGTACTTTCGTTTAATATGTTTGCTTTTCTCATGATTCATTGAATGATTAGTCAAATCAATTGCTGAATTGTTATCAACCAACAATTTGATCTTCAAAGCGTAACATTTCCATCCAAAGTACTTGACAATATTCTGCTTCACATAATGATATGACAGTTAAATATGTAACTCATTGTTTTAAAAAGATTAGATTTGATTTAGAAAGATCAATTTGATTTAGAAATATTAAATTACATATTTTTGGGCTTTTATAGTTTGCGCTTTAACTTGAGATGCAAGTTAACATAAATCTATAAATAGGGAGGAACCTTTATCATTGTAATCATCAAGTTTGATAATCACGGTTTTGCAAATGTAAAGTGATAATAAAATTTCGTAGTTGTGGGCAGAGAGTTACTCTGCAGTTCATACTCATCTTCTTTAAACGTGTTATTGTTTTTATTCTTTGTCATTACATAACAATCTTGAGATCAAGATTGAGAAGAATTATCCATAGGTTGTGGTTGAATTCCAACATCTGGTATCTAGAGTTACGGTTTTGATTCAAGGGAAGAACAACTGTGATGGCGATGAATCACCTGAATGGTCACTTTCCAGCAAATCTTTCAATTCTCAAGAAAGATAATTATGAGAGTTGGTGCAAGAAGATTAAAGTGATTTTTTGTTACCAAGATCTTTGGGGTCTTGTGAAGGAGGGATTATCATCGCTTGTAGGAACTACGACAGATTAGGAGAAAGCAACATATAAAGAATTGAAGAAGAAAGATTATAAAGCTCTCTTTATAATCCATCAATGTGTTGATCCATATAACTCTAAAAAGATTAGTGATGTAGAATCAACGAAAGAAGCTTGAGAGATTCTTGAAAAATCGTTTGGAGGTGCATAGAATGTGAAAGAGGTGAGGTTACAAACTCACAAAAGGACTTATGAATTGCTTCAAATGGAAGACAATGAAAGTATAACAGATTTCTTCACCAGAGTTATAAAGCTGGTGAATTAAATCAAGGTATGTGGAGAAGTGTTGACATTAAGATCAGTTGTGTCAAAGATCTTGAGGTCATTGACTCTAAAAGTTGACCACGTGGTAGTAGCCACAGAAGAATCGTAAGACTTGTCAGTATTGACGAAAGAAGAGCTTTAATGGACGCTTGAGTCTCATGAGCAAAGGATGGTTGAAAGTGTTGCATGAAAGTCGAAGAATGATATGGATTTGCAGGCACAGTCAGAAAAAGAAAGGAAAGAAAAAGGAAGCTAGAATGGAAACAAAGGTAGAAGGTTACACCAATTCGACTGGTCAAAATCAGCATAAAGGAAACTAGTCGAATCAGAGAAAACACTAGAACCAATACAACCAAAGAGGTGGTGGTGCAGGTAGAGGAAGAGGTGGTGGTTGAAAGCTTGACAAAAGCCACATTCAGGTTTTCAATTGTCAAAAGTATGGTCACTACTATAGTGATTAACCAGAAAAGAAGAAGAAATAAGAAACTAATGCAAAGTTGGAAAAACATGAAGAAGAAGAGATGTTGTTGATGATCACTAGAAAAGATGAAGAAAGATTCCAAGACTAGTGGTACTTGGACTCAAGATGCTCATCACACATGACTGAAAGGAAAGATTGGTTTGTCAACATGAAGCCCTCGTCGAAGAACATGATGAAATTTACAAATGACAACACTCTAGCAGCTGAAGGTGTTTGTGATATTCAGATCGTGAGGAAAGATGGCAAGAAATCAATAATTTCCAATGTGTTATACATACCAGACATGAAAAGTAACCTTCTCAGTATAGGATAACTTGTCGAAAGAAACTACAAGGTAGTTTTCAAAGACAAGATGATGAGAGTTCTCGATGCAGGTGGTAGGTTGATCTTGAAGGCTCCAATGTCTCAGTATATGACCTTCAAGATTGAACTCAATATAATGGAGTACATGTGCCTAGCAACTGCATCTAGCAGAGATGAGTGGTTATGGAATTTTCGACTAGGTCATCTCAACTTCAATGACATTAGAGAGCTAAAGAGAAGAAAAATAACTTCAGGATTATCTGAAGTCGACATTCCAAGTGAAGTCTATGAATAGTGTGTTCAGTCGAAACAACACAAGAATAGCTCCAGCAAGGATGCAGAAAGGAAATCAAAGATGATTCTGGAAGTCATATACTCTGATGTATGTGTTCCAATCCAAGTGGATTCGATTGCAGGAAACAGATACTTTGTCACGTTCGTAGATGATTATAGTCGAAAGTTATGGACTTACTCCATCAAGAAGAAAAGTGATGTGATCGAGGTATTTTCCATATTCAAATCTATGGTTGAAAGACAAAGTAATCGAAAGATAAATATTATGAGGACTGATGGTGGTGGAGAGTATGTGTCAAAAGAGTTCAATGCATTATGTTAAAAAGAAGGGGTTGTGCATGAGGTGGTGCCACCCTACACTCCACAGCAAAATGGAATTGCAGAAAGAAAGAACAGAACCATCATGAACACTGTGAGAAGTGTGTTGAATGGAAAGCATCTACCAAAAGAATTATTGAGAGAAGCGGTTCCGACAACAACATACATATTAAACAGATGCCCAACGAAGAAGCTTGAAGGAATCACACCAGAAGAATGTTGTTCTGGTGTCAAGCCTAGCCTTAGATACTTGAAGGTGTTTTGATCTATAGCCCATAGACATGTGCCAGATCAGTTGAGAAGGAAGCTTGATGACAAGTAAAATTATATTATCTTGATAGGATATCGATCGACTGGAGGTTAGAAGTTGTTCGACCCAGTGAATAAGTAGGTAGTGGTAAGAAGGGACGTGATCATAAATGAGCTTAAAGAATGGGATTGGGCTGAGAATGTCAAGAAGGATTCAGTGAGAATCTCTTTTGAAGAACCATCCACTGAAGCCAAAAGAGAAGTTCGACAAGAAGAAGTCAGAGGTGAAGTAGGCCCAAGCAAACCTCAATGAACAAGACACATGTCTGCAAGGTTGCAAGAATGTGTGGTTACATCAGATAATATGGTTGATGAAGAAGGTGAGTCGGTACATTATACTTTCTACGAATATGTCGAACCAGTCAATGTAGACGGGGCATTGAAAGATTCGAAGTGGGTAAAAGTAATGAATGAAGAGTTAGAGTCCATCGAGTTCTACAATAGTGGTATAGGTTTGATGATGCACCAAAGAAGATATACAGATGAAATACTCAAGAGATTTGAGATGCAAGATTGCAACCCAACTTTGACTCAATCTGAGACCAGATTGAAACTGTCGAAGGATTCAGATGAAGATGATGTCGATTGAACCCAATATAGAAGACTTATCGGGTCACTTCGATACCTTTGTCACACAAGGCCTGACTTAGCACACATTGTGGGTATGGTAAGTAGACTCATGCAGAAGACAAAAGTATCACACCTAGCAGCAATGTTGAAGCGGTAAAGCAGCAAGCAAAAATATTAAGTACTTGGCTTTGTCGTCTCCACAGGGATCGGTGCGAGGGAAAGAATGCCATTCGAGAATCTCCACGTCTCTAAGCTTGGGTTTGAATGGTTTGGGATAAAAATGCAAAAGGAAAAACATAAAACAAGAAAATTAATACATTCTTAAGAAACGAGAAAACTCGTCAGGAGTTGTATTTCGTTCCACCGATCATGTACTAAAAAAATAAATATGGATCAAATGCACGCAACCTAAATCGCTCGTCAATATCATCATGTATCGCTCAGAACAGAGGTTATGTCAAACGCAAAGTCGAGAGATCAACCGTATCGTCTCATCGGTGATGTCTCATGCAACTCGACAACAAGGAGCATTAAGAATCGATACCCACGTGAATATTAGTCCTAAAACTAGGTCTAGAGTTTAGAATCTAACAGATGTTCATTTTAGATCGAGTTCAAACCGTATATGTTTATATCAATCCAAACCCATTAAGTAAAAAATCAAGATAACCATCGATAAAGAGTTGTAAAAGAGATTTTATACAAAGATCCAAAAATATACATACAATCAAGATAAACTTACACAAAACCCCAACAAATAGAAAGTACAAAGAGAAAATAGATGAAGAACACAAATTTCACGGTCTGTCAACTCCGATTGAAGTGGATTCGACTCCGGATCATCAAGATGCACACTCTAATATTGTTTCTAAGCTAAATCTACTCAAGAATATTTTTGATGAAGTTAGGGTAAAAAGTTCCCAGCAACAAAACCTAAAAAATGTTGAAAAGTCACTTAAATAGGCAAAAATGGGTTCCCGTGTTCGCCCAGCGAACATATGACACCTTAGCTACTGCCAAAACAATATTTTCCATGCTTCCGGACAATTTTTATTCGCCTTGAGTTTGAAGTGCAAACTCTTAGCGAGTTC